GCGGGCTTCCAGTGCTAAAAGATCCTGCCTGACTGCCCAGGGATTGTCACATTGCAGCTGTTGTACTGTAACTTCCTGCACATGGACAAGAAACGTTGCTGATGTTACTTTACAAATGAACCTATGTCAGCAGTGCTTCCTGCACACAGCTCGCATGGGCAGCGTGCAGGAAGTGATGTCAATGGAAACCAGATATAATAATAATAATCCTTGCATTTGATATAGCGCTTTTCACATCTTCTAGATGTCTCAAAGCGCTTCACAGAATATACTGTAAAGTGAATTGACTGTATATTTGTAGGCGAAACACAGCAGCCAATTGCGCACAGCAGTGTCCCACAAACAGTCGTGGATTAATTTAATATTTTTTTTCTTGCGGGATTATTATTAGGCGTGTGGAATAAGGAAATTTGCCCAAGGTTTCACCCTGCTGGGAATCAAACCCAGGTGTCTCGCTTGAGAGGTGAGTGCTTATTTCAATTAATGATTATTTCAGTTAATTTGACCTGGAAGGCTGCTTTTTAACAGGTAGCTAGGTCGGAGTTTATAGACAAAGACCGCCGGGTAAAACTGGGGTCACCCTATGCTATTGAAATATACCTGGAACCTAAATGGTTAAATATTCTTGCACTAAGAAAATTATAACAAAACCAACCCATCTCCTTCATGAAAGATTAATAACTATCAAATAATAGTCATGCTGTCAATTTTGTTTCAGATCTTATTTCATTTTACAAGGATCTACAATGATCTATTCTTGAACTGGCATATAATTTGCATGGAATTTGTTATTTACTTCTGCTTTGAGTGTGAGTTCTCGTTCTTAGCTCCTTCCTTTGCCAGGATACATTTTTATACTTCCGGAGACTGGAAAAAATGGACTTCTCTGACTAACTGTAAATTAATGGTGACCTTTCCTCTCCTGAAGACCTTTCCTCTTCCGCTGTGCCTCCCGTGCTCACGTGCCATTTCTCTCCAGCCCAGCATCAAACTCTGCCTTCGTTAAGTACTCCGAGATACCATCCCATGTGAAGGGCGTCAGGCAGAAATCCCTCCACAGCCTTGATGTATCCCATCTCTGCCACCTTACTGTCCTGGTCGTTCCTTCCACTCATCAAGCACTGCTTCATGTCCCACGCCCTATTCACCCCACAGTCAGTGAGCGAGCTTTCAGTCGTTCTACCTCCCACTCTAGAACTCCATCCCAGAGTCCCTCAAACTTACCTCTTCCTTGCCCCCTTTAAAGCCTGCCTTTTTGGTATTTGGTCACCTTTCTCGCCCACCACCAGCTCAAGGTCCCAGTCGGTTGTGTGGAGTTGTCCTCCTGACATAAAAGCACTGTATAATGTAAACTGCTATTCTTGAAAGACCCAAACTCATTTTGCATAGGAACTCAGAAGCAACCAGTCACCAAACTACTCCAGCCTATGGTTTTTGGTCAGCCAGGTGTCTGACACATGCGGAAACCCATCACCATGCTTAAGAGTATCCAAACCAAGCTGAGATTTCCGTGCATCTCATCTCCACATGGAAATTGAGATAGATTGTTGGAATGAAATATGCACTCTCTCCCTGTAGGGACCCATTCTGTTTGCCTAATTCTGGAAACTATTAGGCACAGATTGGCAAGAGCCAAGGCTTGGGGACCACAGAATGTCTTGGGATACTGCCAATTAGGGTTCTTTGAAACAGAGCCGTTCAGTGAATTCATGCTTTTTTAGCTCAGATACAGAGAAAATTGACTTTGGCTCTGGGGAAGACCAAGGTGCAGATTGCCTTTCTATTTTGTTGACTAAGCTTTGATGAAAGGAAATCAAAAGTGGAGAAAAATCTATTTAAAAATAGCGTTAGCAAATGAACCTAGCAATAGAGAGCAGAGATATTTAATTTTAAGAGTAAGAAATAACTTGCACTTTTAGCACATTATAAAGATAATAAAGCACATTACAAGTAGCTATTGCTAAGTGTAGTGGCCATTTTTATAGGCAAAGGAAATTAAGGTGATCTCACAGTCAAGAGGTGAATGCCTTTTAACTTATTTTATGAAAAGGCATTTAATTACATATTTTTGTATGTGTTTTTATTCAGGTTTGGGGTGAAACCCCTGGGGCTTTTTAGTACGGATGAAAACTACTCAACTGAAATTCTACAAAAGTGCGATGTTCTGTTTGGGTTAGATGTTTAATTTAACTAGGTCTTTTTATACCATGTTCTGGCAATTTGAGTTAGTCTAAGATTGTTCCAAGATGGAGTGGAAAGTAACCTCAGATTGGTTTGTAGTAAATTTTAATTTAATGATAGTACTTTAAAAATGCGATTATGTAATTTTTAAAATATAAATCTTCAATTGTGTTTGCAGCAAAAACACACTTGGATATTTGCAAATCAGCTCTTATGAGTGGTAGAGATCTACGTTTACATTCTGCAAATTGTGATTGAACCATGTCATGTTCTGTCAACAGAAAGTCTCAGCACTGATCATTACAGCTATTCTACACATCAAATTTACAACTGTATCATTTTGTTTGTGAAGATTGGCTATGTTCCAAAACATTTGCAGTAACTGAGATGTGGCGGAAACTGGCAGCACATTAAAGTGACCATATACTATAGGAAGCAGTTCCTTCATAGCTGAAGTATCCACTTTCTAGTGACTTGCCTACCAAGCTGTTATTTCTGTTCCATCAATTTCAAAGTAACCAAACAACGATGTTTGTATACCCCCAGCTCAGTGTTAGAAGCGCTCTGAGACATTACCCTGCATGAGAAGCACTATATAACTGCATTGTTGTTGTTGTAGAAACTGAACCATCAAATACATTGAAGCTTATATCAATTTTAACTCACTCCCCCTTGGGCACTGACAGTTTTTGTAGTTTGTAAGAGTTAGCCTATTTTAGGATGTCTGCAGAAATCATTTCTAGTCCGTTCTTTTGGTCAGAACTATTCAGTCCTGTCCAGGGGATATACAGAACCGTATGTTGTTGATAAAAAATAATCCGTCAAGTTATGAAAAACTGTACTGTAGTATTTTTCTCTCTCTCTTGGCCCGCAAAGCATTTCAGTGCTCTAAAGAGGGGTACTGCAGTGAAAAATGCTGTACAGTCCATTTTGATTAGAACTTGCTGTTCATTTGGGAAAGACTTAAAGAGCAAATGTCAAATTTGTTTAAATAAATGCATTTTGTGAGTCGTTAATGCTAAGCTGTCAATTATCAAAGGAACTATTCTAAGACACTAATTCCGCACTCTAACTGGAAAACTTATCATGGAGCTGAGGTTACACCAAGATTCTGTCCAGATCATAGTTGTGGTTTCAGATCTATTTAGATCTGTCCAAAATGGGAGCATTTGGATTAGTCTAGTTCTTTAGATAACTTCTGTACAGGTTAAGGCTTGGTGTTGAGTTTCAGACCTTGCAGCTGCATTCCGAGGAAATAGGATTCAGAATCTGAACCTCAATCTGGGTCACAATAGCTATGGTCACCCCTGGTATTAGGATAAATTCCTGGGGCTATATTTAGAGTACTCTTCAGCATTTGAACGTTACAGTTCGAAACAGGCAATTTGGCCCAACTTGTCCTCTCTTCCTCCCTTCATAATCCCCTATCCCATAACCCTCTATTCCCTTCTCCCTAAAAAAAAGAAAACACACAGTCCACAAAACATGCAGACATTACACTTTACAGTATATTCTGTGAAGCGCTTTCAGATGTCTCGAAGACGTGATAAGGCACTATTATCAACTGCAAGGATTATTATTATTAAAATGTCACACCTAACATAACTTACAGTAATAATAATTAATAAGATGACAATAGTTTAAATTAATTCTTATTACTGTATGATGCTCAGAAATGTTCTAGGTGCAGCATCTTTGTATTTACCTTTTCTCTGAGTGTTTCAACTTTGATAGTTGAATAACTATTCTGCAAATACTTTTTTTATAAATAGTATTTATAACAAACAGTGACTTGGAGATGTGTTACTCAGATCTGTGACAGAGTTTGTACAAGATATTTTTAGTGTGTGTGTGTGTTTGTGGGAGTGGGGTGAGATTTAATATTTAATGCTCCGTTGTGATAAACTCAGTTCTATAATTTTGGTAAATATTGGACTGTGTTTCTATTTATGTTTGTGTTGTCCTATTCTGGAGCTAACTGTAACGTGTAAATGTGAATTATAAACTGTGAGATTCCTCATCATGTACAGTCGTAGGCATCTTCTAGTCCTGTTAATCTTCTGACACTACTGGCCTGTAGGAGATTCATTTCCACAGGATATGAAAAAGGATTTTCATATTGTAAGATTACCCTCTGAATGGATTTTTTTTTAATAGAGTTTAATCTCTTGGCCAGATCAGAAGGTCTTATAACTCTCTGGATCTGATTTGCTGTGTAATTGGATGCAGTGTCTGACCAGTGCTGTCTGAGTGATTCACTTTAATGTGGTACCATGCAGAACCGATCGGCCCTTTGAAATCTGTTGTGGTCTCAGGGTGCCGAGTTGCCACCCCCTGCCTGAAGTCCTGTAACGTCTGTCTAGAAACCGTTGCCAAGGTTTTGCAGGGCTTATGAATGTGGGCTTTTGTCTGCAGCACACGTCTGTCTTGAGTGCTCGCACAGGCCTTCGCTGGGGCTCATTCAGATGCAGAAGCCCCTTCCATCACGAAAGACAGCCCATTCAAGTCACATGCCAGAGGTCTCAGCAGAATGGAGTGCAGCTGCTGCCACTCTGGTGACTGATATTAGGGGCTGTTTGACAAACTTGAGGACGTTAAACCTTCAGAGCTCTGGCGAGGATAGGGAACGTATCTGGGACCCTCACGCCATGCCATCTGAGGAGCTGTGGTCAGAGAGTGAGCAGACATGCTCTCCTGCTGTACGCAAATCCAAAAAGGACAAGAAACGGCAAGAACTGCTGGCTGTTGCACTCGGAATGAAAGTGGGTAGAAGGGGTACTGTGCTGTGGCAACCACTGAAACTCTTTGCCTATTCACAGATCACCTCTGTCGTCAGAAGAGCCACCTTGAAACAAAGTGAGAGCAATTTCAATTATGAAAAATCGCATAATTTTAAGGTAAGACTGTCTTTTCATATTTTTATATCAAAGGCAATATCCTGAAAAGATTTAGGTGTCCTGGGTTATTTTGAATTGAAAAATCCTGTCTGTTTGAATGCATCTCTGCTGAAAGTTATTGAATTTTGTTAATGGAATGTCATAATATTTGAGCTTCTTTAGAAAACTTGCTCTATTTAAATGCAGTGGAATTTTTTTAAAATCCAAACTGTTGTATGTTTGTATTGCGGTTTAAAAAGGCAGCAAACGGGCAATAGTTTAAAGGGGGGCTCCAGTTCAGAATTAGGAACCAGTTTGTTATTACAATCCTTGTTATTTCGTCTCTTGTCAATTAACTGCTCTTTTTCTGCATCCAATTAAAGAAGCACAGAAAGGTACCTTTCACCCCCTCTCTAGCAGCGGGGGGGGAAAAGGAATTATGTTTATATGTTAAGAGTTTACTTTTCACAATTACTGCAACGCGCAAGCTGTAGTTTCTCACAGCTCAGCGTTGCACGCAATGTTCTAACTTCTAATGTTTTTTATTTTATTTCCTAATCATAAAATGCTGCTTTTGCTCAGTGGTCTAACAAGCTTTTTGGTTTTGTTTAGATCTTTAAAGCACTGTTTTTGAAGTAAAATTGTAAAGTTTAAACAAAAGTTCCACTCTGGAGATTTGTTATGCCTCCAAGTGGCTGAAGCCCCTCTCTTTCCTCCTACATTTTGATCTCCACACACACCAAGCAGTGTGCGGGGGAGGGGCCGACTACCCCCTGCACATTTGCCAACCCTGCTTTGAAAAGACCGCTAGGAAGCAAACAAGAGTGGCCGAGAGAGAGTCTTCTTAACATTTTTCTGTCTTCCATCCACGCCCATCCTCTAGTCATTATCGTCACACAGTGACACACTGGAGATCAGGAGGCTTAGCAGTGTAACAACAACAACTTGCATTTATATAGCGTCCCTCACGCAGGGTAGCATCCCAGAGCGCACAACTAGTGTCCGAGCATTCCAGTCAGGGTCTTTTTAATAGCCATTCATGGCCATTTATTCTGTGAAAAAAAACACTTCCTCCTATCTGCAAACGCTTTTATACTGCATCTTTTTATGCAAAATGAGCCCTGAAACCATTTATTGAATGAGTTTGCGTGAATATTATGCAGGAGAACACAACCGCAAATTTGCACCAGCTGAGTTCCTTATGCAACATTTGAATAAACAGCCAATTAATTAGAATTTTTTAAAAAAGGCAAAATACTGCAGATGCTAGAAATCTAAAATAAGCACAGTAGTTTCTGGGAACATGCAATAGGTCAGGCAGCATCTATGGAGAGAGGAAAATGAGTTAACATTTCAGGTCGATAACCTTTCGCCACAACTCTGATGAAAGGTTATCGATTTGAACCTTTAATTAATTTGAATTGTTGAGGGTGAATTTATACAGAATTAATTAGCAACTTACAGTACAAAAACAGTACAAAACAGGCCATTCAGCCAACTGTGCTGGTTGTTTATACTTCACATGAGCCTCCACCTCTTCAATCTCCCCTAACTCCTCCATTCCCTTCTCCCTCGTGGAATGCATTTGAATGAGGAGGGAGTTTTAAGTCAAGATAAACTAGAAAAAAACTCCATTTTCTTTAGTATTGCAATGGGGGTGTCCCTTAATGGCCACCTGAATCACATGGCATACATGGCTTAAATTGCTGACCTTGTCAAGAAAGGGATACGAACAATAAGCATGTGCTTAATATAGTATTGTTACGTAGACTAATCATATTTGTTAGCTGAAATTACAACCTCCTAAAAGCTAATTAGTGAGTGGTGAGTCTCTTTAAACCCCAGCATGGTGTGAAGTAATTGTACAGTAAACTAATTGTTAATTCTGCCCATAAGAGAGACAAACAAATATCTACACCTCTCCCTGCCTTCAAAACCCACCTTAAGACCTAGCTTTTCAAGCAAATTTATGGCCATCTTCTACCCCCATGTTCCCCTCTTCTGCAGCCTCCCCTCTCTCCCCATCTCCCCACCTAACACACCCTGTCAGTTGTGTGAAGTGTGTTGAAATATCAACTCAACATGAAAAGTGCTACATAAATGGCAATTGTTGTTGTTCTAACACAGGGATTCAAATTGAACTGTGGTAAACACATTCCAGACATCCAAAATGTCTTGTCCCTTGTGGTTTCAAATCATATGGCCTTGGATACAAACCTCTTGTGTTTGAATAAACTTTTTTTTTGCCAACATTGCAGTTCCCAGCTACAAGTGAGACTTTTGGTGGTGCGGTTACGAGAATTGGTATTCTGAGTATTTGTTGAAGCTCAACGTGTTGATGATAGATGCACTTCAAACGCAATCCATTTTTGATTTGGATTATTTTTGATTCAGTGTGGCAAAACTGGCAACAATGGGCTGCCGTTTGAACAACTTTACAAAAAAGTGTTTCATTTTTGGGCAGCCTTCTTCGTTAGGAATTGACTTCCTCTGTGAATTTGCATATGTTTTTCGAAGTCAGACAGGCCTAAGCTTAACTTGATTTTTGGTAACCTCTAGATCAGACCTTTTGACTTTGACTGGTTTACTGAGAATGGAGGTATTGTCGGCCTTGTTTTTGAAAGGTTGCAGTGTTTAATGAAGAATTTAAGTTCAACAGAATCACATGTCCTGAAAATGTTCTTACATGACTGGCATGTGAGCACTTTATTGCAAAAAGTAACACCAGAGGCTAACAACCACAGTAACAAACAACAAATTACATTTGTATAGCGCCCTTCACATCGGGAGGATATCCCAGGCCACTGGCCAGTCAGGGATTTGCACTCGAGCTTGGGGGAGTGGGATCAAGAGGGGTTGAGGATAGGGGTAAGGGGGTGGCCGAAGGCGCAGTTGAAGTGCAGGGTCTTGAGACGTGCCTTGAAGGAAGCAACAGAGCGAACAAGGTGAAGGGACTGTGGGATGAGTTATAAAGGGTGGGGGCAGAGAAGCTGAAGTGCTGACCGCCGATGGTGGGGCGGGCCAGGCGGGGGACGTGGATCAGGCCAGAGCCTGCTGATGGAGCGGACAGGTTGGTAAGGGGTTAGCAGGTCACAGAGGTAGAAAGGAGCAAGGCCATGGAGGGCCTTGAAGGTGAGGATGAGGATTATGAACTCTATCCTCTGGGGCTAAAATCTGTAAACACATGTTTCTGGTGTTCTCATGCCAACAATATCCATCTGCTTTATTTTCCCGCCAGGACGTTCACCTCTTCCAATTCTTGTCTGCTCCTCCCCAGATAGGGGAGCAGTGCTCAAGTCTTGCATCTGGGCTTTACAGAGAGCTAAAAGTTAAAATTGTTTAAAAATTGGTCATTCATTTCATGGCTATTTGTGGAACATTGCTATATGCAATTGTGCTGCCGTGTTTGCCTACAAATACACAGTAACTCCATTTCACAGTAAATCCTGTGAATTGCTTTTAGACATCCTTCTGAAGTGATAAGGCACAATACCAAATGCAACGATCATTATTAATACAGTTGTTAGCAGAAAATAAATGTTTGGCGCAAGCCAGAAGTGAGCTTCTTGGATTACATGTCTGCTCGCTCACAGAGGCGACTGAATGAAGCAAGTGACAGCTGCGAGGAAAGCTCAGGGTGGCAGAAAGCAGGCCGTGGGCTTTCAGTGGAGTCTCATTTGTAGGTCTGATAACTGCTAAATTGATTTTCTCAACCGTGGTGACAGAAAATGAGAGCCTGGGAGGTTGAGTTGTTTGGAACATTATTTCAAATGAGCATTCAAAACAGAAGCTGGGAAGTCATTCTTTCTGCATTCACTTCTCACGACTGTCTTATTAAAATGCACAGGGAGCCTTTGCTGCACTGAAAATCCATCTTACTTCAGTAATGGAGCAATAATAAAGATATTAATGTCCAGATGAATTTGTACACATGCTTATTTTTAATAACATAAAAACACGCAGCCACTGACAGAGATTGCTTTTTCTTATTATGAGCCAAAATTTATGATAAATGTACTGTTCTTTTGATAAATTGGTTTAGCTGTACCAGTAGCAGCAATACCTGTGGAACAAATGTTTAAACCTTATTGACAACTTGAATTACTGGTCTTAAATATTACAATATGTTTTGGTATCTGAGCAAAAGCATGTTTATTCGAAATTGAAAGAAACGGGCAAGTAAAAACATCATTAATTCACTCACTTCACATTCAGCAGAGTTGAAACGGTTTAAAGCAGTATGGATGGGAAATGAAAACACCATGTAAAAACTTTTAAAAAATGACGCTTTAAACGTAAAACGATAGATTTGTTTATATGGCTTCTCTGGCTGAGATTGACAATTGTGCATGTGTTTTAAGCTATAAAGACCAGATACTAAAGTGGTTCGATTATGTACCATTGGACATTTCAAAGCTTTACCTTCTTGGTGGTTTGCCTGTGTTGTCTGCCTGCTCATTAGCAAAGTGCACATGGTCTGTGAAGAGAACGAGTTTAATGGGCCAAATGGCCCTTTTTTCTTTCCATTTCTTCATGTTATGTTGACCTTTATACCCAGAAGAGAGAGAGAATTTCATTCCTTTGGCCTGGGTTGGAGGAAAACACATACCAAAGGTGAAAGTAAAGTAAGTTTAACACATTGCCAAGCTGTCAGGCGCCCCCCCCCCCCTTATTTTAATATTAAACGCACACAGTATACTTGCTGCATCATTCAATGTCAGTGTCTATCCAACACACACTAGAACTACTTGTCACTCATTTCACATTCAGCAGAGTTGATGACTATGCGTTTGACAGAAAAGTGCCACATCACACTTTAAATGAACAAGTGCAATGACTTGTTGATGATTCACCCCAAAAGAAAGAATTCTGCCACACGTGCTGATTCACATATCTTCATTATTCTGCAGACAGAGCAGTTTTTCCCCAGTAAATGACACCAAGAGTTGATGGTTGAGATCACTGTCTCAGGACACTCATAATGAAAGGATTTCACGTGATATTCAAAGGGTTCTGGGTTC